AGAATTAAATTTTCATGATCTATTTCTGTAAACAAATTATTATTTGATCATAGGTTAGTTTTATTTGTGTAAGGAACTCGCAAAAACAGCATGAACAATTAAATTTTCATGATCTATTTCTGTAAACAAATTATTATTTGATCATAGGTTAGTTTTATTTGTGTAAGGAACTCGCAAAAACAGCATGAACAATTAAATTTTCATGATCTATTTCTGTAAACAAATTATTATTTGATCATAGGTTAGTTTTATTTGTGTAAGGAACTCGCAAAAACAGCATGAACAATTAAATTTTCATGATCTATTTCTGTAAACAAATTATTATTTGATCATAGGTTAGTTTTATTTGTGTAAGGAACTCGCAAAAACAGCATGGACAATTAAATTTTCATGATCTATTTCTTTAAACAAATTATTATTTGATCATAGGTTAGCTTAATTTGTGTAAGGAACTCGCAAAAACAGCATGGAGAATTTAATTTTCATGATCTATTTCTTTAAACAAATTATTATTTGATCATAGGTTAGCTTAATTTGTGTAAGGAACTCGCAAAAACAGCATGGAGAATTTAATTTTCATGATCTATTTCTTTAAACAAATTATTATTTGATCATAGGTTAGCTTAATTTGTGTAAGGAACTCGCAAAAACAGCATGGAGAATTTAATTTTCATGATCTATTTCTTTAAACAAATTATTATTTGATCATAGGTTAGCTTAATTTGTGTAAGGAACTCGCAAAAACAGCATGGAGAATTTAATTTTCATGATCAATTTCTTTAAACGAATTATTATTTGATCATAGGTAAGTTAATGATAACCATTACCGATCATGAAATTTCAACTTACTCTTACAACACTTAATATCACCTTCTTAAATCAGCCAAAATGAATCAATCTGTAAACCAGTATTTTTTAATGCTTTATTGTAAAGCATCCTTACAGGACAAAATACAGTGGAAACCATTTTTTTTCTATTAAGCTTGGAGCACTATACTTTTTCCCCCATACCGGTAATTTCAGTATTTTTATTAAATCTGAAATGGCTCAAGTTGGAACTTTTCAAACCCTGAAAAAATGCTAGTACAGTAGCTATATGTATTAAAACCTTAAGAGGATGCTTGCAGGCTGCTATGGTTTAATATGGTAGAACAAAAGCAGATAATCAATATAAGGATTATTTTCAAAAGCAAGGGTAATAAGTTTTTATACAAAACAAGATGCTCAAATGGCTTCAATCACACATTTGAAAACATGAAAAGAAGATGGTAGAAATATGAGAGATGCTTATTTATTTGAACAAAATTAACATCTTTTCAACAATGCTTCATAAAATGAGAAGTTGTAAAGGTTCTATTCTAATTAGCATCCAGATATAAATTTCAATGATAGATTTTCCTTGTTATTATGATTAATTAGTTATTCAGGGCTTTTGGAATTAAGATTTTCATATCATTTTCAATATACCATGAACATATGAAGTGACATCTTAACCTTGAAAGGGGACAACAGAAATATAAATACAAACTTATATTAGCCATTCATAGGAGGCACGGTAGTCTAGTGGTAGGACACTGGGCTCGTGACCGAAGGGTTGCGGGTTCGAGTCACGGCACTGTGTTGTATCTTTGAACAAGATACTTTACTCTGCTTGTTCCAGTCTACCCGGCTGTAAATGAGTACGTTGTTGGGCAGTGCTAGAATTGTAGAATGCTAGCTGTGAGTGCCGAAATGGCAGCACCGACTGTATGCTCCCCAGGGAGTTGAAAAAGATATTGGCTGGTTGCAAAGGCCCTATAACCACGAATAATAATTTGTGAACCGCTTTGAGACGACCTACGCACTAGGTTGTGATAAAGCAGTATATAAAAACCTCAAATTATTATTATTATTATTCATCCCAGCAAACTATAGAAAAAACAGCTTTAGTCTTTATATGACTATTCTATGCCTAATGGTTTGTCAAATGCTTTTATGATCTTGGTTGTGGGTTAACAGATAATTTATTCGAAAACAGAATGTATGACCAGGAATGTTTTCCAAAGTTAATTAACAAAATTGACAGCCTTTCACACATGCAGGTTACAAGCAAAAAATAATAAGGTCTTTTTTTTAAAAAGCCTAAATCGAGCCCCCTTCCCAATGGAAAATAGTGGTATTTTGTGAAGAAATTATCTACGAAACCATTACACCTTTAAAACTATAAAAGATTAAACAAGGTGCAAATCAGATTTTATCAACACACACCAAGCCAAATGTGTTCACAGATAACAAGTTGATAGTTATATCCAATTCAACTTAGTGAACCGATTTTTTTCTCTCTCCAGTAGTTCACCCAGAAAAATTCCAAACACATAAGACCTGTGTCTGCAATCTATGATTTGGAGATTAATACCCATGCACTTAAAAGGATCAAATTGTCCAGTAAAGACGCTGTGCGCCTCCCCCACATTATATCATGCAAGACTAGAGAAATGATTGTTTAGTGGACTGGACTGTACTAAAGGCAGCAGGAAATTTTGGTATTTTTTTTTTATTATTGCAGCTTGAAATTCATGACACAAAAACAACCCCAGAGAACATGGCTCCTTGCTTATTGCTAAAACACTGTAATAACCTACCAACATCTTTGACTACAAGAATGTCACATGAATTGCACATTTTCACTATCTCTTTATTTTCTTTTTTGACAGCTTGTCAATCTGCCATATTATATCAAATGTCATATTTGAGCTTTCGCTTCGAAATTTTAACATGCATTATCATAGCCCCCAAATATGTCTTGATGAAGAACTGCAGTGCTGACATAATTCTGGACAAGTGCAGTAAGACCAGTTTATGTGGTCCCCAGTTTATGAGTAAGTCGTAAATTATGATTGATATAATTACCCCCTTTTAGGCCTCTTTGCATACACTCAGCTTATTTAACTTATATGTATGTCCTAAACAAATAAAACATTTCTACTGTGAACTGAAGTCTGCAATTCTAATTACTCTCCGTAAAAGCGGGACACAGAAACCCTAAACCGGAACCATGTGTTGGTCCCTAATCAGCTGTTTAAAACACAAGGCTCACGACGGGGATCCAGATACGACCCTTTCGACCTTGAAATGTTAACCGGTGGCAGCAACAATATTTGTGCAATTAAAATGTTAACATTAGTTTTGCAATGTAACGAGAGTACTTTAATGATATGGATTAAGCAGTAAAATGTATTGACCATTACGCATGAGTGTATGCCTTCTCAACCAATGTTTCGTAACTTTGATTTCGTCACTTGCGTTTGTTGCATAAATCGAGTCGTGCGTTTGCGATGTTTTTATCAAAACACAGAAGCATATATTCATGAAACATACAACAATAAAACGCCAATTCATAAAGAATATCGTTTCTTTCATGATATTCTCTATTGTCATTGGAAATGTCAATGAATGTCAACATTTCATTTAGTTCCTCCCAACAAATACACACGATAAACCACGAGGTTTCGCCGTCAAACGGACAAGTAATACAAATTTCTTACCTGCTCCGTTCATATGAGGAGTGTCAT